CGAAAGATAGCTAGAAAAAGGCCCTATTTCCCTCGATTGTTTCCTTTCACTCGATTCTTCGAATCGCTAACGAGTTTCGTCCTCTTTCCTTCCTCGCCAGAAACTGAAAGAGTCGACGAAACGATGATTTTTAAAAATTTACGAAATTCAAAAGAATTTCACCGAGCGAAAAGTGTGTAATAATAATCGTGGTATCGGTAGCGAGCGAGCGAGCGAGCGAGCGAGCGCGGCACAACAACACGAATTGTATCGTATTCGTACAACGAGAAATCGGTCCTTTTCTCTTTCTCTCCTCGCATCTCCCACAGCCGTCCATCCGTCTCCCGCTATACCGTTTCTGCGCTCTAGAACCTAATCTCCACCTTCCGCCTTCTTTTCTGCCTTCTTACCAGTCTTACCAGTTTGAAAGCTTGCGCGGAAGCTTTCTTTACAGTTGCGAACATGTATCGCGACAATGATGACACAAATTTCTTCCGAGTCAAATTCTTCGAACGCGTTGTATTTCAGGCGGTTACGCAAGTAAATATCAAGGATATTAACGGATGCTGCGCGAGCGTTACTGTATCCTACGAGCGTAACGGTATCCTTCGTCGAATATATTGTACTATTTGGCATGAGAAACGAGATAGCACAAACATAGAGGGTTCTATATACGGTCTACATCTCGTATCAATCACCGTATTGTAATTGCACCTACTCGTCGTACGTGTTCTTCGTCATACGTGTAATACACGTCCAAACGAACGAACGACGTACGTTTCGTGCGTCTAAACGATTCTCTCCTGCTCACCGCTCGACACGAATTTCAACTGGCGGCGAATTCGCGGTGAATGTCTTACGAAGAAAGTTGCGGATCGAAATCCAACTCCGGACTCTGACACCGATCCAAGTCGATATTGATTGAAGAAAACTACTTCGTACATTGGTACACACCGTACACACATCTTACGCACATCGTGCACACGCGAGTTTCACCCTTTCGCTTCACCCCACTCATCATTCACTCTCTACCAATCTCTATCTTACCTTCTTTCCCCCCTGATATACGAAGGGAAATTGACATTACAACTATATGAAAGTTTCAGACGTTCAACGACCGTGTCAAACGAAGAGTTCGTTAATCACGTACGTTAATCACATACTTACAATTCAGAATCATTAAGAAAAGAAAAGAAAAGAAAAGAAAAGAAAAGAAAAGAAAAGCTGAGCAAAATTTCTTTCTTCACGCGCGCGTAACAACGCCATCGTTCGTGTCCGAATGGGATCTATCCGATAAATCTATTCGATAAATTTCGTTCCAGTCGTTGCACGAATCAAATTACAAGGTGCATTTTTTGATACGACTGACAGATCCAAGACGATACAGTCCGTGTCATGTCGGACTATTCGGACAATCTTTGCACAATATCACTGCACAATATCGTCCGTCAAATTTCGTACAGTAAATTTCTACGCGACACTTTTAAGAAAGCATCAGACAAATGTATCGTTACTCCAAGAAAAAAAAAAAAAAAAAAAAAAAAA